ATGGTGGTGTGTGGAGGTGTTTGTGTTGTAATGGTGGTGTTGGAGGTGTTGCAGGTGTCTATGTGGTGTTTGTAAGTGTGTGGAGGAGTTGGTGGTGTTGAAGGTGTTTGTGTGGTGGTAGTGGTGGTGGTGTTGAAGGTGTTTGTGTGGTGGTAGTGGTGGTGGTGTTGAAGGTGTTTGTGTGGTGGTAGTGGTGGTGGTGTTGAAGGTGTTTGTGTGGTGGTAGTGGTGGTGATGGAGGTGTTGGTGGTGTTGGAAGTGTCCGTGTGGTGTTGGTGGCGTGTGGAGGTGTTGCTAGTAAAGTATAAAATATATTGGTATGACATTTTTGTTGCAAATAACATTATTATACAGGAGAAGAATGGTCATTTGTTCAAAAACACCTGCAGCACAGTTACTTTCAAACTACAGAAAACAAACAGATAGTCAGTTTATCCGCAGAAGCTTCTGTGCAGCAACAGTTTATTATTAAGTTGCAGCTGCCCCAAACATACCCTAAGAATGACACGTTTTATTTGAAAAATTTACGTACATACAACTGAGTTCAAATGTATTTACATATCTACCACTTAACCTTTTATATTTACTTAATCACTTTAATAGCTAAACGATATCAAAATAAATGCATGAAAATGTGTATTATACCACAAAAAAAATTAATACTAGAATACTTTTATTTCAATTAGAGGATAAGGTGTAATAAAAATAAATATAAAGATTCGATGAAGGATGTAAATGCATAAGAATTCATTGGTATGCACGTAAATCCCCCACTTCATTTTTTCCTTTAGATTATAAGAGAAAAAAAGTTAAATGCTGATAAAAATCACATAATTAAAAAATATATATTATTGTTTCATATTACGCACATATGATTTATAACTTAAAACTTGAAAAATAAGAAATAATATAAAATATACTTCTTTACTATTGCAAAATAAATAAGTTTAAAAATTAAATTATAATATCAAAGACAAAAGAAGTTGATTTTGATGTCATGGTTTCATTTCATGCAAAATACAAGCTTATTATTAAATTTAAAGTAAGAAATGGTCATGCATAAATCCAAAAACACTGTTTGTGAATAAGTAAAATACATATATTATTCACTCAATAAAATTTTCAGAGTTGAAATTCAAACAAAACTAAAAATTAAAATATAAATCAATAAATTTTATGTCAGACAAATAAATCAAACAAAAGGAAAAATACTTCATTCTTGTTAATTTATCAACCACATTTTTATGGTAAAATATTGCATGCTTATTATTTAAACCCTAATGAGACAAAACTAAACGTGATTATAAGCAATGCATGAAACATTTATGTTAAATATTTCCATAAAAATTGTGTTGATTTTCCATATGGCCAAGCAGAAAATCTTTTCGACAAGCCAAGCACATTGGTGTAATCCATTCTCCAATACATGGTCTGATTTAAGAAATTTTTGACAAACAAAAAATGAATGAAAAAAACATTCTCACATAACTTTGACAATAAAATTCTATCTTTAAATCATGTGACCAAGCCTATTTAGATCATTCCAATAAGCTAGATGCACTGGCATAGTATGTTTATCTACTTGTCTCCTAATTTTAAAAAAATTAACACAAATGAAAAACTCAACATGAAACATTTATATGCAATTTTTACAAGAACACTTCCATTGTTCGTCATTACTTTAATTTGCATGTCATGTTTTTTTTCAATCCAAATATAGGATTCAACATAAGAAATTCATGAAATAAGGCTTGAAAATATATTATTTCATGCAAGAAAACTGAAATGATTAATAATCTACATTGTTCATACAAAAAAATATTCAAAATTACAATAGCAGTTAACAATATATTTAATCATCTAAACCACATTTACACGCTCCAAGTTATTATTTTTTTCATCTTTATTGAGCTTATGTGCAGGTTATTATAATTAATTTTGAGTGAAGCTAAAATTGAAAAATAAGTAGAAATGTCAATGCATCTCTTGCCAAGTAGTATCCCCAAATAAAAACTTCTTTCTTGTGAAATAGTGGTAGCACATTTATCAACTAATGATGACATTTCATTAAAATCCTAACCTAAAACAATCTCAAAAAGATGCCTTCATAATTTGCATAACGCTTATGCTCAATTGACTCCTACTACTCGTGAAGTTCCTACAAGGTTAGCAATACATCCCATTAAGAAAATTAACGCATCTATCCCAGTTGAATAGTGCTTCAGCGTGTAATCCCATCAAAAATTCATTGAGTTCGATCATTCATCTATGCAAATTATAATTACTAAATTCATTAGCCAAATCATCAAGATCTTAAAAAGTTCAAGCATAAATTAGAAATATTTAAAAACAAATTATTCCAACAAATACATATCTTTGGATCGCAACTTAAATTCTGAACAATCTATCAAAGCACAAATTCTTTTTTTGCCCGCTCATACATTTTCATGTTCACAAAAATTTTCGTCATTTATTGAAACCTTTCTCACATCACCTTATAATGTTCTTGGACCGTCAAAGCCCTTTGGTTGGAAAATATTTAATTTTCATCAATTTTCTTGTAAAATATGCTTTAAGTTCGGTAGTTTTCTTGTTAAACTGAGTTTAGACGTCTTCATTTCTATGATTAGTACCAGTTAAACCTGCAAAAGGAGCTTCATGCAACATTATAATATTGTTACTTTGACATTAAAATAAAAATCCTATTTAAGATTTATAAGAATTATAATAGCGAATAATGAGTAACATATGAGAGATATACAATATGTTTCATTTAAAAACATAAAAATGGAATAACATATTTTTTTTAATACATGAATGGAAAATTAAAGCATTCCATATTTAAAATGGTTTAAAGCCCTAATGATCTATTTTCTAGTAAACAAAAATGATTGCACTCTTGCTTATACTTTCAAGCCTACATCATCTGTAGGTGTTGCCCGTGCTTGTTGAGCATGAAAGGATTAAATGTTGTTCTTGGAAATAAAGAAATAGATAGTATGGTGGGGTTGTAAACGATAGTTGCCATGACTGTGTTGGTAGAATTGATGACGAAGTGAGCCATTAGGTGCAGTATAAATCGGCAAAAATTGATGGTTGTTTTCCTTGAATTTCCTCTAAATTGTGAATTATATTATACGATCGTCAATATTCATCGGATGAATTACCTATGGCACAAAACATCAATCTTATCTATGGCAAGAGCACTACTCCAATCCAATGGAAGAGTTGCAATGACTGTGTTGGTAGCATTGGTGTCGAAGTGAGCCATTAGGTACAGTATAAATTGGCAAAAATTGATGGTGGTATTCCTTGAATTTCCTCTAAATTGTACATGATAGTTGCCATGACTGTGTGGCAGCATTGGTGACGAAGTGAGCCATTAGGTACAGTATAAATCAGCAAAAATTATGGGTGGTCTTCCTTGAATCCTCTAAATTGTGAATTATATTATACAATCCTCAATATTCATCGGATGAATTACCTATGGCACAAAACACCAATCTTATCTATGGCAAGCTACATATCATTTGCATCATGAGCACTACTCCTACTGAAGAGTTGCCATGACTGTGTTGGTAGCATTGGTGACGAAGTGAGCCATTAGGTACGGTACAAATTGGCAAAAATTGATGGTGGAATTCATTGAATTTCCTCTAAATTGCAAATGATGGTTGCCATGACTGTGTTGGTAGCATTGGTGACAAAGTGAGGAATTAGGTACAGTATAAATTTGCAAAAACAGATGGTGGTCTTCCTTGAATCTCCTCTAAACTGTGAATTTTATTATACAACCCTCAATGTTCATCGGATGAATTACCTATGGCACAACACCAATTTTATCTATGGCAAGCTACATATCATTTGCATCACGAGCACTACTCCAACGCAAGAGTCTACAAAAATCTGTCTGAATAAATTAGTTTTACTGTTTATAATAAGTGAATTATTAGAAGAATTCATTTATCATGCCATTATATGGAATTAGAACATAAATTTACAAACTAAAATGAGTTCAACAAGAGCAAAGTATAATTAGTGAAGATATTGATCAATATCACAGGGGTTGACGCCCAACCATTTTCCATGAAATCATAAGGATCCTTGAACACAAGATATCAATACCAGATATGCAAACTTGTGGCAGAAAGAACAATAAGTAGTTAAGCATAATGATCCCTGATAACATCGAGATATAAATATCTCGAAAACTATTATATAAATGCGAGATATAAATATCTCGAAAACTATTATATAAATGCTGCAAGAAAAATGATAATTTTTTTAATACACAAAAAGAAATTTTTATGCATATTCTAGTTTGTGTGATGCCCGTCCATCTCATTTCAATATAATTTAACATTCTTTAGAGGCACTTCTTTGACTCTCTCTCTTCACTCCAAAAGCAATTACATTTTAACTACTTAACCATCAACTAATTAATAACCCAATGATTTATATACCACAAAACTTTCCACTTCAAGTTTGAATATGATAAAACGAAAGAGTGGACACCCAGCCTGTCAATACCCAAGATCAAAGCTACAATAAGTATAGGCACCCAGCCATATTAAATTTTGTAGGCTTGGTTGCTGACTCTAACTCCCCATAACAATAGGCTAGAACTAAAAGTAGGAAGTAGAGAATAAACCAAAATCTTATAACAATGACAGGTAATGCAGGTTAATTTCAAATCCAAAAGTTTCTAACATTGGTAAACAATCAATAATGGAAGAATGCATGCAATAACATGTCTAGCTGACTAAAAATATATTTAATCATATGTTATTTAAAACACCAGTATATATCCACGTATTAATACCTAGCTTTTGGTTTAAACATCACCTTAGCTCACATGAGTGCAAGGTGACATTTTAACAAAAAAGGTCCCTAGCCAACAAGAGTAAATGGCAATAAATTCTGAATTTCTTGCTAAACATTTTTTGACATCTTATCTAAATAAATGCATAATGTATATAAGATTCAATAAAAGCACATACTATCACCATCTCTAAACACTTGGGCAAAGCATACATCCCCAGCCTTTCTCATATGATCCTGATATTCATAAAAAGTGATATGAGAAATTCATTATTTAAGGTAAGTAATAAAATTTGATACAATTCTAAATGGAATGTTCAAACCTTCAAATCTTGCCATGAAGCTGAAGAAGGTAATCCTCGGACCGCAACTACGAAATGACAGTAGCAAACATGAAAAATCTTGTAAACTGAGAACAGCAGAAATATGAAAAAAATAATCAATTACGTTAAAATCAACATAACCATCAAAGAAAAAACCTCGGTAATCTGAGCGGTGTGAGACCCCAAACTTGCCAGCTCCACCACCACCTCCACCACCATAGCGACTGCTTCGACCGCTCGAAGATGAGTACCCTCTACCACCATGAGCAAGCTCAACCTATAAATTAAAAAGATAGAATAAAGTGAAGCATATTTCAAACAATATGTATGTATGTATGTATGTGTGTAAAGGTATATGTCACGATATTGATGACCAAAAAGGAAATAGAATTACCTTCAAATTAGAGCCACCAAAATTATATCCATCACGGCCCCTGATTGCATCATCAGCATCCCGGGAACTTTCAAACTAGAAAAAGAACCATGATGAGATAAGGAGAAAAAAAAAAGTAAAATAAAAAAGGACAATAAAAACAACTGCAAAGAATATACCTCCACAAAACAATAACCCGGTGGTCGAGGTGGATTCTTTAATTCAATTTTCACTATACGGCCATACTGCATTAATTGAATTAACAGTAAAAAAAATAAACAATATTAATAGATAACAATCCAACATTTATATTCTAATAATGCCAAGGTATGTTCGAAGTTATCTTTTGAAGCTCTGTCACATCAAAGGCAACCTTTGTCAAAATTAGCCAGTTCAAAATCAACGCAAGAAATCAACTTCCAAAACTACTTGCTATCATTAACGGCTGATATTATTTTTGTATTAAAAAAACCTATTCTTAAAGAATATTTAAAGAGCCATCATGGGTGGATGGCAATACTATAAAATCAATATAAACATGTGCTAATCTGTCCACTTCATGCGGTGCATTGCATGCCACAAACTCATCAAACTACCACTTCTCAGGCAGTTACATTATGGAATTCACCTTCAAACACTGCGTGCAAACAAAAAAAGTCCTTTCGTGATTTTAAGTTCAATTATTAAAAGCTCCATTCTAATTTCAACATAATGGGCCCTTTTTTTTCTTTTAATATTCCCATTCTGATTTCAACATAACATTATTTGTAAAATATCACTTTGAGTTATTAATAAATGGATAGTACATAGTCAAAAAGAAAAAAGCAGTCAAAAAAATTTTCAAAGCCCTATCTTCGTGAGTTGTGACATGGGATATTACTCCGTGATTACAAATTTTCCAGGGAAGTGCATCAATAACAATATCTTTTTTATTACCATGTGAACAATTTGACATTAAAATAGACCTCCTCCTACAAAAAAGGTTATTTCTACACAGTTAACAATTTTCCATAGATGTGCATCAATAAACCTTCTTGTCTTCCATTTCATATTTTTTTGCAAATATTAAATGAAAAAGCTAGTCTAAGGGATTGTGTGGCTTTGTTAAGAAGAAGACAATGCAAGCTCCTATACTTAGCAAGATTTAGAAGAAAAAAAAACAAAGGAATAAGTAAAAAGTTTTAGCTTTCCACCGAAATGCATAAAACTTCTGTGCTATGTTCACTCGTGAAACACTAGATTTTAAACAAAACAATTAAAAAGTGTGAATTGCACAATTGTAAATCTTAAACTGTCCGTGAATATGAATAAAAGAACCCTTAAGAAAAAACAATAGAAATCAATATAAACTATAAGATTCCAGTTGATAAGTAGCCACAAGAGAAATGGGAACTTATTACCTTGTAAAACAAATCTTCAATTTCCCGCTCACGAACATCCAAAGGAAGGTTGCCAACATATACAGTACGGCCTGCACGGCCACTCATCTTTAAAAATGTATACTTTATAACCTGTCGAAAAGATTGAGAACTCAGAAATAATAACCAACTCTACATCTATAACAAGATGATCAAGCATTAACAGAATAATTAGGTTTCATAATATTATAAGCACGCTTTTTAATATGAAACCAGAGGTCAAATCTATGAGGCAAACCAATAGAACAATCCTTGGTGTGAACAATGCTCCACAAGCTCCAATGGTGCATTTTGTCCAAAAAGCTCCATATATGTAAAAAAACTGACATAAACATTGACCCTTTCATTCTCTATGATTCAATGAGTAGAGCGCCAATCCTCTCTGTACTCAAGAATCAGCTCAATCAAATCATTTATAACTCCACCCAGATTTCTCACCCTCCTCTAAAGCCCTAGGACCAGCTGCAAAGCTCCTATGTATCCCATCAGCATTTATCTATCATGAAGAAAGCATCTGTTACAGGATCAGTGAGGTTGCCAAATCGTGCATGCACACACCTTAAAGAGGTTTCCAAGCAAAATTTCATGGAAACAGAAGTGGGAAGTACAAAATTACAATCAAAAAGCTACCCCATTTATTTTTGGGGCATTTACATGCATACCACCCAATTCCTATGTATTTATACATCTAACAACTAAATTTATATTTTTACATTTATACCGCTCAATTATTTCATATCACATAAGAAAAACCACCATTTTAACTTTTAAAAAATGAAATACACCTTTTCATGCATAGGTAAGATAGCATGTATGAAAAAATTAAAGTTTGGATGCTAGATATACAAATACATAGGAGTTGAGTGGTATGTATGTAAATCTTTCTTTATTTTGTTGTTTTGAAAAGTGCAAACGTGACCTTCAAATGAAAAGTATAAGTAAACGAATAAATTATCAAGGGTTGCAAGGAAAAAGGTCCTTAACGCAATATTAATGTGCATTTTCAGTAATGAAACGCACTTCATTGACAGAGGCCCCTGTTCTACTAAAAGCATCGTAAAAGTTCACACTTCCACAACATACAACGATCACAAAAAGAAAATAATGCATGAGTTAGCAACAATCAAGGATCTCCAATGGATAGAAATAATGAAAATAAAACAAAGTCGAGCATTTTAAATGCGCAAACTTCTATAGAGAATCTCTTTACTCTCCACACTTTGAGGTCAGTAAGAAGGCAAACTCTGACAATAATCAGCAACCAGAAACACACTCTCTCGCAAATGAAAATCAACTCTCAGTTTGTCATTATCTACGGAACATAAGTGACATGCCAACAATTGCGTTTTTCATTTTTCATCGGAGCATCAACCATAATAAGGGAATTCCAGGGACTCTCTACCAATGCCTAGTCTCTGTTATACCTTCTAAAAAAATAATAATAACCCTTCAACCATTCCAGTCACATCTTAAATCTTGACCCGCTCCAACCAATTGCACTAGAAAAACCCCCAAACAAAGGCTCCATTAACAATCCTGTAAAAAGTTAATCTTTTCTGTATGACAAAAGAACCTTATATCATCGAGTAAGTATTTGATGCCCCTGATTCACGGCCAGATCTGATAGAAAAGACTGTTGGCTTCAAAAGACCGAGAGCGGATTGAATGGAAGATTGCACTTACCAGAAAGCGATAGATCGGCGACTTTGCTGCTCCGCTCGCGCGCCGACTTTAGGAACTAGGGTTTTCCGCTTTGGGCTCTGACGTCAAGATTCGACTGCTCCGGCTGGGAGGAGATGCGGATATTTGGAGGTAGAAAAGAGAGAGAGAAAGAGACAGCTAGACTGGCGGCCCACGAATTGGGCCGAACCGGAGCAAAATGAGTCTACTGGGCTAAAATCCAAAAAGAACAAGAAACGATGCTAGACGGCTCGTATGCTATTGCGGAACAATTTATTCGCAACATAATAAATAATGGGAAATTCAACATTGGCACAACGTGATGAAGAAGAAAATGCATCTAAAGATACTGTTAAGAAGAATCTCCAAAACTCAAAATTTTTTATGAAGATCTTGCTCTTTTTTTGATTTCGTAATCATATCATTTTTGTTGATTTTGTTAGTGTTATATATGTTTGGATTGTGTTAGCGTAATTTGGAATAAAAGTGGTACTGACGTAGAATTTATTAGTAATAGAACTCGTAAGGTCTAAATGCGGTGCAGTTTATGTTGAACATATTATGTTTAATACATGTTTGTGTGATTATTTTTGCCGTAAAAATTTTACTTATGCTCTCCTTACTTCAATGTGTTGTTGTATGTTATCATGCATCTGACGATAAAAGTGTTGAGAGCGAAAAGTACTTGAGGCGTATTCATTAGTCTTATCTGAATATTTGTCTATTTTGATAATTATTTCTTTTTAAATTTTGCGAGAGATAATTTTTTTTAGAAAAACGTAATTTCTAAAAATCTGGACTTTTCTTTTTTTTTTTTTTTGAAATAGCATTATTCGGCTCATTATGCATTTCACAAAAAAAAAATTACAAAAGAAGGAAAAATTGACCTAACACTCACATACAACTCACACAAGATAAAGAAAATCTAAAGGTCATTTTCCCAAAGAAAATCAAGATACAACACACACACCCAAAACAAAAGAAACAAAACAAAAACTAACAAATCAAGCTAAAAGTATGATGCACATTAGGAAGCACATTATTAAATTTAGCATCATTCCTAGCAATCCATATAAACCAAAAAGTAATAGCAGGTATAGCAGTGAAGAAAGCATGACCATTATTCCTCCACTTATTGAAAAATATCATAATTATTAGTAAATTGCATTGAATTCAATTGCAGTTTCATAAAAACCTTCATCCAAACGTCAACAACAAATTTGCATTCAGCAGAAATATGAGCATTGGCTTCAATGATTTCTGCATAGAACACAGTAAGAAGGAAGTTACAAACCTTTTAGTTTCAGTAAATCATCAGTATGAATACTATTATGAAATATTCTCCAAATAAAGAAAGAATTTGAAGGTTTGACCCATGGGTTCCAATTCTAACTAAGATCAAACCCCTGAAAGGATTGAAAGGATTTAACAAAGCTTTTGGACTCTTGATTTTATAATTTAACTTTTACTTTCGTATTTATGCTTATTTAGATAATAAAGGTAAATATATAAATTTCATATGTTGAAATACCTCTGAATCTTATATAATATCTACAGAGGGGTATTTTAGACATTTGTCCGCAGACAACACTTTCAAAACTGTATTTTTCAAATAGGTCGACTACTCTGAAATACTAGCTTTCGAACAATAAATTTTTCACAACAGTTTTTGAGTTAAGATTTCGTACAATCACAAGCAAAACAAATACACCCTTAAATATATACCGCCCAACTCTTATTTATTTTCATATATTAATCTTAAATTAAGAGAAACTAGGGGTTAGAAAAATGAACAATAAAGTGATAACACATTACACATCACTCAAATTTTATTTATTTACATATATAACACCTAAACATATATATTTTTTATAATTATACGAGCCAAATAATTTTTTAAATAATAAAATTTAACATTTTTTTAATAAATATAAAAATTTAATGTAAAATTAATATGAAAATTTCAAGATATTGAAAATACTTATGGGTATTTCAGATATAGATAACAATGATAAATATGAGAATTTCATATATTGAAAATATTTATGGATTTTATATAATATCTACATATGTGTATTTCATACATTTGATAGTACTTTTAAAGTTATACAACATGATTAAAACAAACGCACCCTCAAAATATATACCGCCCAACTTGGATTTATTTACGTATATAAATCTTAATTCAAAAGAGAGTAGTGGTCAGAGAAAAGGACAATAAAGCGGCATCATTTTCTCACTTTATCTGCACTTTATATCACAATTTTAAAAACATTTACATACATATCACTCAAATCCTATTTATTTACATATATAACATCTAAACATATATTTTTATAATTATACCAACCAAATGATTTTTTAAAATAACAAAATTTAACATGTTTGATAAATATAAAAGAATTAATATAAAATGGTATAAATAAATTCTATTATTTTATTATTTTATTATATCAAGTCAAAACGAGCCGAACACGAAAAGAGAAACTTTTGTTCGTGTTCGGTTCATTTATAAATTGAGCTCAGAAAAAAAAAATTTCTTGTTCGGCTCGGTTGTTTAAAGAACAAATCAAACAAAAACTATTTAATGAGCCGAACATGAATTATTTGTGAATGATGGGCTTTTTTGACAGTCCTGCTGATTGACTCGATAAGATGAACACAATGATACAATTGGTCCAATCTGAGTCAGATAAATCTCAAATCAAACTAGTATGCCATTTTCTGAAACTTATAGTGCTCAATTGAATGAACAAATGAATTTCAAATCTGACAAGCACATAACCAAATCGAGTGTCTTGACATGTTGAATCTAACGAGCCAAAGATCACTCAATTTTGACTTTGCTCGGGCACTTAAATATCCAGTGAAAATTTCTTTGGGTCATCTAATTGAAAATTGGATTCATTTCTTATTTACATGGGAGAATCTCCCAAATTCTAAAAATAGAAACCAAACCTATTCATGAAAGGGGCTAGAATCTAGAGCAAGAGAAGAGGTTTGGTGTTCTACACCAAAGGTCCTGCAAACAACATCAAATATTGTAACCGCCGACCACCATCGACCACCACCCATCGGCTGTTGTCGACCACAACTAGACCTGGGCGTTGGGCTAACCGAGTTTGGCATGGGTCGGATTTATTCTCGCTTTGCCGGGGCTTGAGCCCGAATTGAATTTATAATTTCATAGCCAAGTCTACTGACTAAATGGGTAAGGTCAGCCTGCAGGCCTCCATGGACTTCAAAAGAAATAATTGTTTATACCAAAAAATAAGAAGATGCTCACATACATGACACTTGAAAATATTTATACATCTAGCACCATCTTTCATTCATTTTTTTAATTATAACCCAAATATTGAAATTCACAATAAAAATCTAAGATCAAACACTAGCCATATTTTTCATTTTATTTAAATTATCAATGGTTTGATCACGCACAGATAAATATATCGGTTTGATTGTTCAAAAATAACACTTGAGTGCTAGATTTTGTAAATAGTAATGTCTTGATTGCTATGTATGTAATTATCCAAAAAATAAATAAATAATAAAATCTTTAATATTTTCTCTCGAATCATATTGTTGATTTAAAATATTAAGAAAAAATATAATATTAATGTTTGAAACATGAAAGGATGTACAATAAGAGTTTTAAATTGATTTTATGCATGCAAGTGAATTTAATAGCAAATATATACACACAAAATACGCAAGATTTTAAACTGAAAAATCTCGCTAGGTAAATACAAAGGAGTTGAGAAAAATACAATATATAAATTACATATCTAAAACCCAGACTTCGACTTTTACATATTTATCATCTTTTATATGCATGAAAGTTGTACTTTATTTTAAGAAAAAAGATTAAAAGTGATAATTTTTATGTGATATAAAAGATTTGATTGGTATTAATATAAAATAAAAATTTATGGTTAGATAAAGAAGACAGATGATGAGAAAATCAATCGCCTCGAAAGCTTGCAATCGGGAAATATATTTATGAGACCTGACTGATGGACAAGCCGGGCTTGGAGCGTCTCGGCGCTTAACAATTTAATTTCTTCATAACCACGTCCGCTCAATCTAAGCGAGGCGAAAGATAATTGTTGCTAGTTTATTTGCCTCATCAAAACATTTATTTTACAAAATAAAGTTTTTGAAAATAGAATTAAGATGATTTTAAAAATTATTTTGACTCAAGTTTTTTGAAAATAGAAAGAAGGATTCCTAAATTTTTTTTTTTAATTCATTCACTTGCATCAAGATCTATATTTATCTAAATTTTCAATCGTTATATCAATAACTAGTAATTAATTTATATTTTTAAATTATAATATCAAATTTAGAATTAATTAGATTAAATTGAATTTTAATTTTGACTCAAGTTTTATGAAAAGTTAAAATAAAATCTTATTAAAAATTATCCTCACACTAAATTTTAACTTTAGTTTAAAACTTTATTTATTGAGTTTTGTTTGTATAGAAATAAGTTTTTTTTTTTTTAAATAGTATTCTAAAACTCGATGGAAATTAGGGGTGCAAACGAGTTGTGTCAAGCTCGAGTGATGCCTCACTGTGCTTGTTAGTCAGAATATAAACTCGAGTTGAAGTTCGAGCTAGGCTCACAATGATGACAGTAGACCTGCAAACTGGATTTTAACTTTAGTTTAAAACTTTATCTATTGAGTTTTGTTTGTATAGAAATAAGTTTTTTTTTTTTTTAATAGTATTCTAAAACTCGATGGAAATTAGGGGTGCAAACGAGTTGTGTCAAGCTCGAGTGATGCCTCACTGTGCTTGTTAGTCAGAATATAAACTCGAGTTGAAGTTCGAGCTAGGCTCACAATGATGACAGTAGACCTGCAAACTGGATTTTAACTTTAGTTTAAAACTTTATCTATTGAGTTTTGTTTGTATAGAAATAAGTTTTTTTTTTTTTTAAATAGTATTCTAAAACTCGATAGAAATTAGGGTGCAAACGAGTTGTGTCAAGCTCGAGCGATGCCTCCCTGTGCTTGTTAGTCAGAATATAGACTCGAGCTGGAGTTCGAGCTAGGCTCACAATGATGACAGTAGACTCGCAAACTGGAGTGAAAAATTAAATTATCAAGGAAGCTCACTTGAGACATCAATGATACCTGGAAAAGAAGGTGAAGTGTCACGACTGTTCGATTAGCTGAC